CTAAACCTCCCTGGATTCCCTGACTTTGTTAGCAAACTTTTGTATTTATGACCAAAAAAAGGCATTTGCAATTACTTGGAAAATATTTTTATACTCAAATTAATATTATTATTGTTGTTCATATAATGGAGGGAGGGAGGGAGGGACGGAGGGAGGGATTCCCAGCTTTAAAATAATTTTTATAATTTGGTATGTGAGGCGCAGAAGTAAAAAAAGGCAGAATTTGAGCAGATGTGATTATGTTTTCTTGGAACTAAGGACTTCATGTATAAATGTTTTGAATTCAATGCGTGTTATTTTTATGTTAAAATGTGTATGGCTGCAACCAGTGGCAATATCCAATAAGATCAAAGGTATTTTAGGAATAAGCTGCTGTTGCATTGATGTGCATGCAGGAATGCTGAACAAAATGGGGATAAGGTTAAGACTTAAAAAACACCAGCTAATCAATGTGGAACACCCACATTATCGAGATGGGAAAAAATGTGCTTGCAATGCCCTGTTTCAAAAGTTCTCAACCTTCTTTGCCTTTAATATGCATCACTGCCCTTAAGGGATAGGAGAAATTATAAATTCAAAATGACTGAAGTGGAAAGGCATTTCCAAGCAAGGAAGCAATAAAAACAGTATCTGCAATTGAGAGAAAGGCCACACCAGGGCATACAAGCAGGCTGTGCCTCAAACAAAGACCACCCATCTGTGTCCACCTCTGCCAAAGCTGACCTACTTTTCAAAACAGACCCCAGTGCGTCAAAGAAAAACCAGAGGCTTCCATCCTGCAGCCCCAGGAAAGGCCAAATCACAAAGCCTCAGGAACTATATTCATCAAGATCTGCATTAACAAACTTTTTTAAAAGGAAGCAAAACTCAGGAAATATTAAGGACTTCTGTAAGTTGCAATACAGGAATGATACTCCTCTCCGCTCCTTTCCCTGCCCTAATCAATCACTGCCCCAAAGTTTCAGGATGGACACCCAGAACTTTATGGTTGCTTCAGGCATGATCTGATTAATAAGGACAAAATGATGGGGTAGGGAGGGAACTGCAGAAGTAAAAACAAGGTTCCTGCAGAGAATCTGAAAAGCCTTTCCCAATCCTCTCTTCCCAGTATGTGCAATGTTGAGTTTTCTTATTTTCTTTTCAATCAGTTTCATGTTTTAAGGCCAAATAATGGCAACTCATTGCCTTGGTGGCTTCAAAGGGATGCAAAACATTTGTTTCCTAGACTGCACAAATGCTATTGAGGAAGGAATAGCTGAGTTGGAAGGGACTTTGGAGGTCTTCTAGTCCAACCCCCTGCTGAAGCAGTAGATCCTATGTCAGTGATGGCTAATCCGTTTGTCATTATGTGCCAAAAGTGTGTGCGTGCGTGATAGCGTGTGCACGCACCCATAATGCAACACGTGCCCCACCCCCCGCACATGTGCACGTGAACCCCCCACATGCGCGGCAAAGACCCAAAAATCAGCTGGCCTGCAGGAGGTGCACGCGTATGCACAGTGGAGCTGAGCTGGGGCAACGGCTCTACATGCCACCTGTGGCATGCATGCCATAGATTCGCCATCACGGCCCTATGTCATTTCAGCCAAATGGTTATCCAATCTCTTCTTGAAAACCTCCAGTGATGGAGCACCCACAACTTTTGAAGACAACCTCTTCCACTGATTAATTGTTCTACCTGACAGGAAGTTTGTCCTTCTTTCTTAGGTTGGTTCACTCCTTGATTAGTTTCCATCCGTTGCTTCTTTTTCTGTCTTCAGGTGCTTTGGAGAATAGGTTGACTCTCTCTTCTTTGTGGCAGCCCCTGAGATATTGGAACACTGGTATCATGTCTCCCCTAGTCCTTCTTTTCATTAAACTGGACATCTTCAATCTCTGCAACTGTTCTTCATGTTTTAGCCTCCAGTCCCCTCATCATCTTTGTTGCTCTTCTCTGCACTCTTTCCAGAGTCTCAACATCTTTTTTTAAGGAGAGAGGTGGATGATATCCCCTGCCACAAGTTTCTTTTGATATCACTACATTTACACCCACCCCACCAATTTCCCTTGCATTCTAGCATCCAGAAAGGGATCACCAGCAAATGGTGTAACTTACTTTGGATTGGATTGGGAAAAGAGTTGGGGGAAAAGTCAAGTCAGAATTCCGGCCCTCAGGTTTTCTTTCAGTGTTGGGGAGGTGCCCATCTTTGTACACATCCCCAACTAACCCGAAGTTTAAGCGGATCGCGATTCGCCCAATTAACTCCCTCGCAAGGCTTTGCGGATACAAGCTGAACCACCAACTACTTCCACCGAAACAAGCCAAAATGCCCTTTTAGCCTAACACGGTTGTGCGAACGAAATCCTTCGCCCAGTTGCGCTTTTTCAAAGTTCTACTCCCGGGGTTTTGCCGCAGAACAAAAGGGATGGAAAGGGGGGGGGGCTAGTGCCCCCGCGTCCCGATTCCTCTTGCTCCGCGGCACTTCGCTAAAGATCTCCCCTCACCCACCCACCCACATCCCAATCGCAGCTACCCGAGGTGGGGGTGGGGGAGAAAGAAGAGTTTATTGTGAGGATGGGTTAGGTGGACGCGCGGATAGTTAGCTGGCTGCTGGCGGGGCGAGGGTGCGCGCGCGCGCGCGCGGTCTCCCTGTTAACCCAGAACTGGTTCCTCCTCATGGCTCTGCCCTGACGTAATTCAAACATGGCAATAGTTCCGACTTCAAAGCCAGCTCCACCAGACCTCCCATAAACAGGGCGCACGAGGCGTGGAAGCGCAGCGCGCCCCAACAGCCAGCGGAGGGGGGGGAAAAAAAAAACCCCGCACGCCCCAAAGTTTCCCTCACAAACAATGATCCCGCGTGGGCGCGTGCCCGGCCGCCCGCGGGTGCCGTGCCCACCGCCGTCCCTTCCCATCCGTCTCTGAGGCGCCGCTTCCTGCTCTCCCGGGCACCTAAAAACACGCCTCTTTCTCTCCTCTTCCCTGCGCGCAACGTGATGCCTCGCGACGGTGGGCACGCACCGCCGCGAAAAAGTTTTAACCTCCGAGAGGAAAAGTCCTGAGGGCCGCCGCGCTTCAGCGCTAAGAAAGCGTGCCCGCAGCGCGCGGAACTCGACCCCCCACCCACTCCCCGGCTTCGGCCCTTCTCCTCAGAGGGTCCATGTCAAGGGGACGGGCGCCGAGAACCGGCCCAAGCTCGCCAAGCACGAGAGCCACATGCTTCATGGCAGCCCTTTGTTCGCCCTCAGCTGAGGGTGGAAAAAGCCCAGTTCTTCTTTTCACCTGAAAGGAAACACTCGGCTTTCCCGGGGAAGTTTTTTTTTTTCCGGGGAGTGGGGGAGTGAACAGCTTTGCAGTGAGGAGGCTTTTTTTTTTTTTTAATAAGAAAAAGGCGAGATCCAAGTGGGATTTGCAAAGACCGTCCGCGGGAGTTCGTTCTCCTCCCCGGTTGGGCTTTGAAGACGGCAAAAAGCCTCTGCCTCCCCGCCCTCCGTCCCACCACCACATCGCTATCACCACCCACTCGGCTCCGGCGACCAATGAGACAAATATATGCAACAGCTAAATCTTCGGAAATCTTTTTAATAAGAAATTTCGCCAACTAAAAAAGAACGTTGACGACCTGCTAAAGAACACCAGGCTTCGCTCACCTACGAAGGCTTCTTTTCCCTCCGCCCCAAATGACAGAACCCACAATCGGACCTTGTGGGAGATCCGGAGTGTTAAAAACTATTTACAAGCCGCCTTCCCATCCCGGCTGCTTTTCACTCACTCTGGAGAAACGCAGATTTTATTTATTTATTTTATTTATTTATTTTAATTTAATTTAATTTGTATACCGCCCTTCTCCCAAAAGGGACTCAGGGAGGTGAACAGCCAAAATTAAAATACATACAATACAAAAGTTAAGATAATTAAAAGAGATTAAATCAATCTCTTTTGAGGTTGACGCCCCCAGCCCCGAGCTTCCATTCGCTTCTCTGCCCCGCGTCGCAATTTATTTTTCTTCAATCCCTTCTACAGGTGTATATATTCTTTTCGAAGGTCTCGGAGAAAACGTTCGAAAATGGAACGTTGGGATCGAGATAACGTTCTGAATTCGAACTTTGCGCTCCTGGGTTTAGGAATCCCGAAGAGAAAACCTGCAACACATTTTATGTCTTCTCTCTCTCTCTCCCCACCCCAGTCCCGCTTTGCTTCTCCTCCGTCGCTAACGCCGCGTCCATAGTTGTAACGGACCACGCTGCTCTGGCCGCTTGCAGCCACCACCAATGCGCCCCCGAATGAGCAAACGGTGGCTGCCATCATTCCAATATTATTTTGCTCCCCTGATGCACTCGTTTATGTTCCCGCGGGATTGCTCTTTAGTAAAAGAAGATAACACAGAGCCTCAGTTCTCATTTCTTCCCCTTTCTCCTTATTTTTTTTAGAGCTTTCTGTGCGGTTTCGAACATTTGTTTTTAAAAAAGTTTACCGCCCACCAAAACTAACTGAACCCGGAGGATTCTAGTCACTCAAATCACGGTGGAAACCGCTAACTCCATTAAAGCATTCACTGTACAATTTACTTGAAAGGAAATCCTGATATGTCCAATGGATTTTACTTCTTAAGTAAATGTACACAAGATAACATTTCCTTTAGGGTTGCACCCAGCAATCTGGTTTCCAAAGCACTTATTTCTTCCAACTGTTTTTCTCCGAGGGGAAAAAAAAAGACTCGTTGTCACTGGCCACATGTTCACAACAATGCAGTCAACCTCTTCCTACTCCGATTCATCTTTTTCCGCAATGATGCGCATTCAAAACCTCCCCACAAAGTATAGAGGAGATTACTTTCTATCAATCCTCCCATCTAAAAATAAGTATTTTCCTAAGTCACCTGTGAGTTTTCCTAGAGATTAGCTTTTCAAAAAAAACTGCATTTTGCACGCGTGACAAAACTTGCCAGAATCCCTCTCTCAAGACCGCTCTTTCAAACAAACGCCAAGACGGTGAACCGACAAACGCCGAATTCCCTCACCTCCAACAAAACCGATCGTGTGCGGTGTGCCGCGATTCGGTTCCCTGGTCCACGCTACGCCACTTTTCCTTGTCTCGCTTCTGGCGTCTGGAGAGCAAGATCCGGAATCATCGGTTTAACTTTTTGAGTCGGTGTACGCATGCGCCGTTCCCACGGGCTGAATTCTCAATCGAGCTGCTTTGCATACGCGTACCATTGTCCTTTTAAGGGAGAAAAGGGCCGAGCGAAAAGCCTGGGAGAGAAAAGCGGAGGGGAGGGTCTAGGCATTGTGACGTAGGACGAATGTAGCGACTGGAGGAGGAGCGTTCGAGCAATTGGCGGGTAGATTTTCGGGCAAGGTGGCGGTTGAGATGGGTGGCCGCGGCTTTTGGGCTATTTGTCAATGCTGCCCTTTGTGCGGTTAATGCACAATTAATTCCTTCAGGCGAGGAAAGCGGCTTCTGCAAATAGGAAGGCTTCCATTTCCCCCGAATAGATAATACCTGTCATGGGGAGATGACGAGACTCCTCCAGACTGCTTTAGAAGCACTGAGCTTACTAGGCATTGCTGCTGCGCTTGGCGACTCAGTAGTGCTGGCTCCTGGAGAAAAGCTGCTTTTAGAATAGAATAGAATAGTTGGAAGGGACCTTGGAGGTCTTCTAGTCCACTCCCCTGCCTAGGCAGGAAACCCTACACCACTTCAGACAAATGGTTGTCCAACATTTTCTTAAAAACTTCCAGTGTTGGAGCATTTACAACTTCTGGAGGCAAGTCGTTCCACTGATTCATTGTTCTCACTGTCAGGAAATTTCTCCTTAGTTCTAAGTTGCTTCTCTCCTTGATTAGTTTCCACCTATTGCTTCTTGTTCTACCCTCAGGTGCTTTGGAGCAGCGGCCACCAACTGGTGGTCCGTGGACCACTGGTGGTCCGCAAGAAAATTTTGGTGGTCCGCAGAAAAATTATTTGCATTTTTTATCTTGCACTAAATGTTATTTTTGCTATGTTATGTTTATTGTAATTGTAAACCGCCCTTCTCCCGAAGGACTCGGGGCGGTGAACAGCCAGCAGATAAAATACAGAAAATACAAAATTTAAAACAATATTAAAATCCAATTAAATTAATTTGGCCCGCAGTTAAAACACCCCTATATTAAAACCCATAATTTAACAATTTAAAATTAAAACAATTTAAAAAGTTAGGTCAGGTCAGCCCGGCTTGATGAAACAGAAACGTCTTTAAAGCATGGCGGAAAGTGCGCAGATCCGGGATCCTCTATCTCCGGGGGCAACTCGTTCCAGAGGGTAGGTGTCCCCACAGAGAAGGCTCTCTCCCTGGGGGCCACCAGCTGACATTGTTTGGCCGACGGCACCCTGAGGAGCCCCTCTCTATGGGACCGTACTGGTCGGTGGGAGGCTACCGGCGGCAGAAGGCGGTCTTGTAAATACCCCGGTCCTAAGCCATCAGGGGTCCTCAAACTACGGCCCCTGGGCCGGATATGTGCAATGAATGTTTGTGTTTCTGCAGAGAGTCTCCCCCTTTGGGGTCTTTTTGTGTGGGTCGAAGGGAGGCAGAAATTCCGATTCGGGGTCTGCTTCAGCCTCCTGGTGTGGGGCTTTGGATGAAGGCTGGAGGGAAGTGCCGCTGGTGGCAAAGAGCCAGAGGGCCTTGTTCCAGTGGGACTGCCTCATGGCCTGGAACTGGCTGACCATCTCAGCCCACTGGGCCTCCAGGCGCTGGTACCTGGCCTTGCACTCCCGCAGGTCTTCCCTCTGCTTGGAAAGCCTGTGCTCCTAGTCCTCAGTGAGGTGCTTCTGCTGAGCCTCTTTCTCAGCCAAATCCAATTTGAACTGAGCTGTTTTGCCAACTCTTTCATGGTTGCTGCTTAGCTCCAACAACTGCTTCCTGTTGGGGTCCTAAGGAGCTCGAGCAGGCAGGCGAGGAGTGGCATGGAGGGGAGGGTTGAGTAGAGGCCGGTGAGGTGCCCCTCGAAGTGAGTGACATCGACTTGGCCATGCCCACCCAGTCACATGCCCACCTAGCCATGCCCACCCAGCCGGTCATTAGGCAGATCATATTAGTGGTCCGTGGGATTTAAAATTATGAATTTAGTGGTCTCCGAGGTCCGAAAGGTTGGTGACCCCTGCTTTGGAGAATAGCTTGACTCCCTCTTCTTTGTGACAGCCCCTGAGATATTGGAACACTGCTATCATGCCTCCCCTAGTCCTTCTCTTCATTAAATTAGACGTACCCAGTTCCTGCAACTGTTCTTCATATGTTTATTTGTCACGGGGAAAAATTAGCATTGGAAACTGCGGCTTGTAAAGCAGGAAAAAGGACGAAGCTCCTTGGATGCTCGTATAGGTAATGTTTTGGTGGGCAACTCTTTTTTAAACCCTGAATTGTAAGCAGGTTTAGAAAATTTTTCCAAGTGTTGCATGGAAAAAGTTAGGCGAATATAAACTTTTCTTGCTCTCATTGTTGGAAGCAAACCTAGTTACACATACGTGTACAATACGATACTGTGCAAAACATTTTAGGCAGTTGTGCAAAAATGCTGTAAATTAAGAATGCTTTCAGAAATAGAAGTGTTAATGAAAGTAAGGAGAAATTTCCTGACAGAACAATTAATAAGTGAAACAACTTGCCTCCAGAAGTTGTGAATGCTCCAACACTGGAAGTTTTTAAGATGATGTTGGATAACCATTTGTCTGAAGTAGTGTAGGGTTTCTTGCCTAAGCAGGGGGTTGGACTAGAAGACCTCCAAGGTCCCTTCCAATTCTGTTATTCTGTTAAATAGTTTATTTTGAAATGGAAAATAAAGGAACTGAAGAGAAATCAAAATCAAATCAATCAATCAAATCAATATTGGGTATGACCAACTAGTTTTTAAGTTGCATTTGCACAATACAACTTAATGGTCCACTGTGTTGTGTGAATCACCTAACAGTTCAGAAGGGTTTCCACATTAGCGACTTTTTCAAAGCTTGAATCTGGGGGCTTTAGCACTCAAAAAAGATTTTTCAACCACTAAGTTAATTACTGAGTTCACACAATATAGTAACTATGCTGTTTGTTTGGCATAGGTTTATATTGATATTGTTTCCTGATTGCTTATTTGTAACCTATAACTATCATTAAGTGTTGTACCTTATGATTCTTGATGACTGTATCTTTTATTTTATGTACACTGAGAGCATATACACCAAGACAAATTCCTTGTGTGTCCAATCACACTTGGCCAATAAAAATTCTATTCTATTCTGTTCTGTTCTATTTTATTCATAGGTTTAGCATACTCTCTGAACTGTTCTTGGTAAAGCATGATTTATTAATCATCGGGGGTATAAACCCACCAATAATACTGCAGGTTATTCCATAAACCATGATCACACAAACCATGATTTAGTTGAGTGAACCTAGCAGTGATCATCACTGACTTCCTGTTCTATGCATTCTTCCTAACAATGTTAAATTAAATCCTTTCCAAATGGCTTCCAATTACAAATGACAATGAGACTTTTCTAGTAATTTCTTTTTGATACTACTGGTATGATTAAGAATTTTTTCATAGTTCCACTGGCCTACTAGTCTATTAGTTTAAATGTACATTGGCAAACTGGACTTTTACATTTCATTTTTTTCTTTCTTTTTTTTAAATTTTTTATAAATTTTCATTCATAAACATTTTTGAAAAACAGTGCATTGTCAGAGTATCATTTATAAATAGAACAAAGCCAAAGAAAGTTGATAGTAAATATTAGCACACAAACTAATTTTTCTGTCTATTGCTGCAATATGGCATCAATTTCCAGAAACAATTCTGGTACCTTTTAAAACACACAGCAGGAGAGAGGCTTTTATCTGTAAGTAAAACACATTCAAATAAAGAAGTAAATGGAATTAAGGTCCGAGTAACTTAATGGAGCTGCAAGTTTGTTAAGAGCAGTTTATGCAGTCATACACAGCGGATTCAGGAAGGATGCATCAACTTATTTGACTTGGACAGATTTTAAAAGATCCTTGATTTTAAGCCAAGCCTTGATATACTTGAGAGAATTGCAAATGTGACAAGCTTGTCTTTCGAACCCACTAATTCCCAATTCTGGCAATGTCGCTATGCAGAACAAATTGCTCTGCTTTAACTATTAAGTGTTTTGTCTTCTGACTTTCAGTTTTGCCAAAGCAAGTAGAGGCCACATCTGATTAGGGTAAGCATTCGGTTGCAGTTTTATTTTCACATATGCTCCTCATTATTGTATTTCCTTTAATGTGCAATTTTCTTGTTTACAATCCACAATTGCAGTAGCATCTTGAGTGACTAAGGAAATTGTATTGTAAGCCTGGATAATAAATATACCATAGCTATATTTTGGCAAAAGACACCCAGCCACACTGAAACACCTTATTTTCTACATGTATAAAAGGGCAGCTGATGTCTTTCTCGGGGAGGTTTGTTTTTTACATCCGCGTCAAGCTGTAAACAATATTATGTGCATAGGTGGAGAGCCTATATTAAAAGATGCATCTCCTTCCAAGCTGAATTTGTTTTGGAGGCATTGGACTGGAACTCTTCATTTAAAACAAAATCAACTGAGATGCTGTACTGTTCACAGAGGCACCACATTAGTAAATCAACACGGCCATAGACCATTCAGCATTAAAACAGTGTTTTTATGTGTTTGTGTAAAGCTTGGTAACAATAAATTAGCACATAAGTATAAACTAGGTTTGTCTGCATTTTCCACTGAATTTAAAAGCCAGTTTGGTGTAGGGGTGAAGGTGGTAGCTTAGAAACCAGGTGACTTTGAGTTCTAGTTCTGTTTTAGGCATGAAAGTCAGCTGGGTGACTTTGAGCCAGTCGTACTCTTTCAGGCCCAACCTACCTCACAAGGTTGTTGTGGGGAAAATAGGAGGAGGAAGGACAATTGGATAAGTTGGCTGCCTTAAGGTAAATTTATAAAATAATAAAAGGTGAGATAAATAAATGAGCCGAGGTGGCGCAGTGGTTAGAGTGCAGTACTGCAGCTAGTTCAGCTGACTGCTAGTTCAGCAGATCAGCGGATCAAATCTCACCGGCTCAAGGTTGACTCAGCCTTCCATCCTTCCAAGGTGGGTAAAATGAGGACCCAGATTGTTGGGGGCAATATGCTATTTAGTATACTGTCTTTGGTGTAAGCTGCCCAGAGTTCTCG